GCATTTCTGTTCCCTCTATCTCGCTCTTCCACTTGTGTCTCTCATCCTTGCTGTTTTGTTTTTTTTTTTTTTCCTTTTCCCATGTCTTGCTCTTCCGTGTGTGTCTCTCTCATGTCTGCATGAATTGATCCTTCTGCTTCACTTTCATACTCGTTGCTGCTGCATGTTCCTACGTGCCTAACACCCATAATGCTCGAGTCTGTTTTTTGCCACTCACGCTTTTGTGCTCTCCTGTTCTATGCACGGTGCACATTCATGTAACCATTTCATCACTCATCACTTATCCTCGCTGTTCTTCCCTCATGGCAGTCTTTATGTTGCTGCTCTTTTATGTGTGCACTTCCCAACTGCCCATGCTGATACTCCCACAGGAGGATTGGTGGAGTGGAAAACGGGAGCATTCCCGACTCCTTTGGCAACATGTCCAGCCTGCAATACCTGTGAGAGCCTATCATACCTGCACTAGCCATTTGGTTGTCTCATGCCAACACTACGCTTCATTTTTCTCCATTGATCGAAGGACATGTTTGGCCGCATCTAAAAAAAAAGAAAGAATCTATCATTTTTTCCTTGATCCAGGAAAATATTTGGGAATGGAGAGAGCTTGAAGATCACTGGATCTATTCCGGACTCGTTATCCAACATCCACAACCTCACTCAGCTGTAAGCATCATACTTTTCACATGTATTGATTTTGTAAATACCACCTGCTGTACCTCACACATCCTCATGCCACCCAGACACTACATCTGTCAGCTTGTGCCAACCACACACCCACACTCTGCAAGTAGTTGGATAATTGTTTTTAGATATATTTTTGAGTCAATGTCAGAATCGATTTTAAGTCAATAGCTAGGTCGATGTTTGGGAGTTTTAAGTTGGTTATTGGATCTTTCTAGAAGCCATAAGAGACCACAAACCCACACCCTGCAGGTGGCTTGACAGCAATGCAATTGGGCCGCTTACTGATGGCATAGGGAATCTTATGAGCCTTCAGGTCTTGTAAGTAGCTGTGAACAATGAGACAAGGTTTTTCTCCAAGGTGTGCTTGTGAAGGTATTCTGCATGTGATGTGTGATTGTGAAGGTATTCTGCATGTGATGTGTGATTGTGAAGGTATTCTGCATGTGATGTGTGCTTGTGAAGGTATTCTGCATGTGATGTGTGCTTGTGAAGGTATTCTGCATGTGATGTGTGCTTGTGAAGGTATTCTGCATGTGATGTGTGCTTGTGAAGGTATTCTGCATGTGATGTGTGCTGCATGTGAAGGTATTCTGCATGTGATGTGTGCTGCATGTGAAGGTATTCTGCATGTGATGTGTGCTGCATGTAAAGGTATTCTGCATGTGATGTGTGCTGCATGTGAAGGTATTCTGCATGTGATGTGTGCTGCATGTGAAAGTATTCTGCATTTGTGGTGTGCTGCATGTGAAGGTATGTTGCATGTGAAGGTAAGCTTTTCTACAGGTCATGCTCTGTTGTTTGCAATGGGTGTGACAACACACACACGTATGCATGCATGCACACACACACACACACACACACACACACACACACACACACTCACACTCACACTCACAACCCTTCCTTCTTTCGCCCCCCCCATCCCCCACACAGAAGCACAAAAAAAGCAGGCCATTTCTAACAAGGGCAACCTTTATACTAAACACTCAAATTCTTGTAATGTCTAGCATCACCGGCCACTCAGTCCACCCATACAAATTACCTGCCTGTGTATTTCCCTCTCAATTCTCCTACTTCCCCTCATCTCCGCCTCAACCCCTCACCCCTAAAGAGTCATTTGAGAATCAAATAACCTCTCCCCCCCATCCCCTCACCTCAAGCCAGCTATTTAAAAAGCAGTAGCCTACAAACCAAGGATTTGAAAAGTAAACCTCTATCCCCCCAACCCCTCTGATGCAGCCACATATTTTAAAAGCTCTTCATTACAAACCTTTTTTTTTACAAAGTGACCTTTCCCCCCACCCCCTCTACCCAAACCAGGTATTTTGAAAGCAACAACCATCTCCATTCATCCCTCACCCCGAACCAGTAACTTGATAAGCAACAACTTCACGGGAAACACCATCCCCAGCACATTACCCCCTTCCATGCACATCACTTGCATATGTATGCCATCCAATAATTCCTCTTCCGCTGATTTCCCCGAACCCCATCACCCCAAAGCAGTAAATTGAAGAGCAACAACTTCACGGGCAACACCATCCCCAGCACCATCTCTGCTCTCACCAACCTCGTACAGCTGTAAGCCTTTTAAAAGCCATGATCTCTTTTAAGGCACCTCGGAAGACGATGGTTTAAGCGCATTATAAGCCCAGTACCATCTCTGCTCTCACCAACTTCGTAGTGTTGCAAGCCCTCTGCGTTCTCACACGTTCTCACACCTTTGCACTCGTTCTCTTTTAATGAGCAGAGTTTCTTAGCACATCAAGAATCCAGCACCACCCTGCTCTCACCAACCTCATGGAACCATAAGCCTGTTATGAGCCTTGCCACAGAACCCAGCATGATTTTTTATCGTCTCTTTGCCCATCTGCCTTTGCGGCACCTCAAAAGCATGACTTTTTCCTTTCTCACCGATCTGCACCCCTTGTTTGATTGCCCGACTCCCTGCCATCATAGACCTCTACAGCTCACAGATCGACGGCCCCTTTCCTTCTGGGCTTGCTGCTCTCACTCATCTTAAGTATATGTGAGTTTCACATGAATATGCCATTTCCCACCCATCTGCACCCATCTTGGCCTGTTGCTGGATTGGCATAACCCCCAACATCTTCTGGCTCTCTACTCTCGTTGTACTTCAAATCATGTGAACTGTGTACAACATTTTGGACTATTAACGATTGGTGGTGGATGGATTGCATAATTATTCCACTCTTCCTGTTTTCATATTCCCTTAGCTCACATGCGCCTTTCTTGCAATCAGATTTTCCTCTCCTGCAATCACATGGTCCCTTTCCTGCAACCATATTATCCCACCCTGGAAATCCATGTCCCTTCCCTACAATCACATGTGCCTCTATACCAACATCAGAGACCTTAAATGGAACAACCTGGTGGGAACAGTGCCTTCATTTTTGGGGAAGCTCTCTCTCCTTACCTTCTTGTACGTATGGATGCATGTGGATGGATGCTTGTGTTTTCATGGCTGAGTTTATTTATGTATATGGATGGATGAATGCAAGCAGATCATTGAGTGTATGAAAGCATGCGGCTGAACTGATTGTTTGCATGCATACGGTTGAGTGTGTGTTTGTACATGGCTATGTAAAATGAAGTAAGATCTCCAGTTACGCATTAATGCGTCACATCCACAATCTAGCCACATGCATTCACTTGCCAGCCACATGCATCCAGATCTCAACCACATGTAATGACATGCCATTCCACATGCCATCCACCAACCATTGCAGCGGCATCGAGGGAAACAATCTCACTGGCTATCTGCCACCCACCCTTGGCGCGCTTGACCTAGAAACTCTGTAAGTGCTTCTTATATGCTCTGTAAGTGCCCTGCAAGTGCTCTGTAAGAACTCTAGAAGCACTCTGTAAGTGCTTCGTAAAGGCCCTCAAAGTGCCTTGTAAGCACTCCATAAGTGCTCTGTAATAAATTGCCTTCGCAGTGCTGTGTCCTAACAGCATGGACTGTGCGGTGCAGCAGACACTAGAGAGAATTTTCAGCAACATGGGCCAAGTTAGGACGAAAATTCTTTCATTCCACTCCCACTCCCCACCGCATGTCCCACATCATGCCCCACCGCATGCCTTAGAAGGGAGCATGAGTTTACAGTGCTTTGTCCGAATCTGTGCCATGAACATTATCACAACAACTTTTGCTTCACACACCTCCCCCCTTCTTCATCCTCCCTACATCTCCACTAGGGAGTATGACTTCACGATGCTGTGTCCCAACAGCACGGACTGTGTGGTGTGGCAGTCACTGAAAAGCCAGTTTTGTATCGCCTGCCACTCCTTCTGCCTGTCCTGCACCCTGGCTTATGGAGGTAATAAGCCCTTCAAGTGTGAGTCTGTTTTGAGAGCCCTCACAAAAACCTCATTTTTATAGTCAATCTGCACCACCTGCAACTCCTTCCCTCAGACCTGCTTCTCCATGCGGTCCCACTTTGCTATTCTGCCCACTGTGATCAGTCCACATAAGCTAAGATTCACCTTGAGAAAGCTTGAACATACTTAGAAGTATATGTCATTGCACGTGCTACAGCTACACTTCCTCATTCAGATAGCCATCAATCGATATCTCATGTATTCTTCAAAGTTCATTGCCATTGTGAGGCTTCTATTCTTGGGTAAATTAAGAAATCAACATAATATTATTCCCCCTTATTCTTTCTTGGTTTGTGTGCGTTTTGATGCAATTAAAGAATCACAAATAGCATTCTCGTATGTGACCATGCTTTAGAAGGGGCACTATGAGAATATTCTGTCAGAATGTTATGTGTTGTGTAGGCTATAGTGGGGTACTCAGCAGAGAGTACAACCCTTTTAGGGTTTCCTATATGTACTCCACCTGCCTGCTAGTACAATCCTCTTCTCCTGATCATTCCTGCTCATAGTTCTGACATATTCCTCTTCTTTCTAATGTTTCTTTGTGTGCAACGCCATCATCTAATGCTATTTCATCCGAAGCTCTTCCATCCGAAGCTCCCTGGTCCGAAGCTCTTCCATCCGAATCCCCCCAACCGGAACCTCACAACCCTGGATACACACTCCCCTCCTTTGCAATTCCTTCGCTCTACCCTCCCTCCAAGCCTGCATCCTCGGGCACTAGTACCAGCAGCAGCACTGCCGTGTCATCCTCCTCCGGCCCCTCTACTGGATCGATCGTGGGGATTGTGGTGGGGCTGCTGCTTGCGGTCATTGGTGCTGTTGCTGTCGCATTCATTTATTTTTTATGTTGAGTTGTAACAATGGTTGCCTGTTTGGTCCAACCGACAAGCATCCTCCTTAATCATTCATTCTTAATCCACACTATGTTTCTGGTTGTTGTTGTTGTTGTTGTTGTTGTTGTTGTTGTTGTTGTTGTTGTTGTTGTTGTTGTTGTTGTTGTTGTTGTTGTTGTTGTTGTTGTTGTTGTTGTTGTTGTTGTTGTTGTCGTTGTCGTTGTCGTTGTCGTTGTCGTTGTCGTTGTCGTCGTCGTCGTCGTCGCCGTCGTTGTCGTTGTCGTTGTCGTTGTCGTTGTTGTTGTTGGTTGTTTGTTTGTTTGTTGTTGTTTTTTCTTTTCTTTTCCTTTCTTTTTCTCCTCTCTCTCTCACTATCTCTCCAACTTACCTCATTTTCGTACTTTATTCCAGCCATTAAGGTGGAATACCCCTCCGTCTCTACAGCAGCAACAGGATATCCAGCCATGGGAGCATACACAGCAGGAAACCAGTACAAGACTGCTGAGACCGCCCATGTCAGTTACCAGCAAGGTGTTGCTGATAAGGTGTAGACTAAGCTCACACAGGGTGTGATTACGCACTTACTACCTCTCATTCCACGTTTAATTTACGCTATGTCGCAGCTATATGGTAAGTGCACTGTTTAGGGAATTTGGTTGCATAAATCAAGTTGAAGAAGCTGGGGCACGCATGGCTTGGCCAGCCAGCCCAAGGGATGGGTGCAACTCATGATGTGGAATTCTGAAGCCATTCAGCCTTTTGGTTTTGGATAGATGTAGGAGGGCTTTTTGGCGTGTGGTGATGTCTTTTTTTGTGTCAGCTTATATACATATGCATATATGTACATATATATTTATATATGAATACATAGGTTGTTTCCTTTTGCTAGTAGCTGTACTTCTTATTCCAAGCTCTATGAGCAAGAAATTGTGAAGTATTTTAAGTGAAGTTAGGATCAGGGCAACGAATACAAGCAGCTGTCTTAAGGACGAGGTTAGTGAGGAACTTATGAAACTTTCTGCCTGTGTATGTCCTCAAAAAGTTGTCATAGAGGAGATAGAAGTGGCGTTAATGGATGCATGGAGCAGGCAAGCACTAGCTAGGGCAGCAGGGAAAGAGATAAGCACAAGGTGGGGTAGCAGGGGAAGGGATAAGCACAAGGTGGGGTAGCAGGGGAAGACAATAGCCACTACAGAGAAGAAGGTTGGGTAACAGAAAGAGACACGACATAGGAACCGGAATAGAAGCTCTCATTGTAGGACTTAGGGATACTGACTGGCTTCAATGTGAAGTTTCTTTCTATGGTCGGAGCGGGCAAGCAACTCAATAGCATGGCACTTGTACATGCATGTCATTTCACATACACCTACGTGGTGTGTGCACGTACATCACTTATGGCCGCTCGTATGTGTGCGTGTGTGTGTGTGTGTATGTGTGTGTGTGTGTGTGTGTATGTGTGTGTGTGTGTGTGTGTGTGTGTATGTGGGTTGCATATATTTTGGGGTGCGGTGATAGCTACATGCATGATACCATTGACTCATCATTGTTAAAGCAAAGTTTCTATCACATTGCACCCAATGATTCTTTATTTAAGTATTTTTGTATTCCCCCATTCAAGGCTAGTAGTTGGTGTGAGGCAGATGGGCTGTTTTTGAGAAGAGGTGGCTACGAGGGAGCTTCAAAGAAGGTAGTTAGTGCATATACCAGGAGAGGGATCTGGCATCAAACCATATGGTGGTGGTGGCATGGGAGAAGACAAAATGCATTGCCACAAAAAGACATTGAGATGAAACGATAGTGGACGTGTACCAAATTCCACAAGCAGGGGTGGTGAGGAGGGAGGAGACGATGGGTTCAGATTTTGAGCAGTCAATCAATCCCTTAGTGTTGTATGGATCCAGTGGGGCTTGTGACTTAATGATAATGATGACCTGTTTGTTCTTTGAACGTTTGATGCATTTTCTGCTTGTTTGCTTCTGCTAGCACCTGTAATTTGGATTGCATGACTCTTTGCAAGCAGGGAATTCTGAAGCTATATATATTTATGTATATATGGGCACGATCACTTTTACCATTGTTTTTGATTGAAATGGAAAACTTGTAAGCAAGAACGTGTAGGCAAGAACTTGTAAGCAATATTTTGTAGGCAAGAGACCAGTCCAGCATGCATATGGAGGTGGAAAAAAGGGGGGTCTTCACTTGGCAATTATCGTTATATCTAGCTTACCTTTGCGCATTTCACTCCTGTGTCATACCTTATCCCGATCTCCAACCTTCTCTTTACTGAATCAGTCTCCCTCTGCTGCTGCTGCTACTGCTAGTGCTCCTTTGCTCTCTGCATACCTTAATGCCACCCCTTTCTCAGGACAAACTACACATGCAACACGTCCTTCCAGCTCATCAGTAACCTTATCTCAGAGCCAGCTATCCGTATTAGTTGCACTGATCTTGCCCGTATCCGTATTTCTTTTCAAGATAACCTTGCTCATACAAAGCCTTGGAATAGAAACTACAGGTATAGAAGAAACGAAGCAAAAAGGGTCAAAGGTACAGCACCAGACAGCAAGCCCTCCTACATCCACCCTTTACCAAGAAACTAACAAACATTTGAATCCCACATTATGGGTTGTGCTCATCCCTTGGGCTGGATGACCAACTCATGCATGCCATGCTTATTTAACTATATAACTTCAATAATATCCATTGAACTAGAGATCCTGCATGGGGCAATTGCCATGTGGCCGCCATAAAGTGTGTATCGTGTGTAAGTGCAAGAAGCATGTAAGTGCACCATGTGGGTGAACGAAGTCAACACCTGAGCAGACACACCTTTTGAGGCGGCCCAACAATAGCATGAGGTGTAAAGAGGGCGTAGGCGTCCAGTGTGTGAAATTAATTTACACCTTATCAACAACACCCGGCTGGTAACCAATATTGGTTGCCTGAGCTGGCTTGTACTGGTCTCCAGCTGTGTATGCCCCCATGACTGGATAGCCTGTTGTTGCTGCAGAGAGAGGATGTTCCACCTCAATGGCTGGAAAACAACATGGAAATAAGAGAAAGGGAGTCAAGAAAGGAAGGAGACTTGTTGGTTTTATAGAACAAGGAAACCACTGTTGTGAATCTATGGTGTCAAGAAATATCACGAGTTTTTATGCTGTTATGGGTTGTGATTGAGAATAAGTAGAAAGAAAATTGGGTAACGGAATGTAAAAAGAAGCAAAATGGGAGAATCACTGGAAAGAGCCATATGCAAGGGCTTGAAACTACGAAGATTTTCCTGGAAAACAAGATTTCCTTTTGGTAACGTTTAATAAAAAACTCACCTTTTGTCTTCTTGCAACACTGGACAACGATGAACACGGCAGCAATGCCGCCAATGACCACCAGAATCACCCCCACCACAATCCCCACAATCGCTCCAGTTGACATGCCAGAGGAGGAAGAAGAGGCAGTGCTGTTGGCAGAGGAGGAGCTCTGCACACTGTTGTCGATGATGTTGGTGCTGCTGCTGGTGGTACTAGTACCCGGAGATGTGGGGTTGGCGGTGTTAGAGGTGCCATTGCCAGGGGGAGGAGTGAAGGGAGGGGATAGGGAAGGAGGTGCAATGGAGGGGGGTGTGTACGGAGGCTCATGATCGTTGACTGGGGAAGATTCGGATGGGGGGGATGTGGATGGAAGAGCTTCAGAAGGAAGAGCTTCGGATGGAAGAGCCTCAGATGGAAGAGCTTCGGATGGAAGAGCTTCGGAGGGAAGTGCTTCGGAGGGAAGTGCTTCGGATGGAAGTGCTTCGGATGGAAGTGCTTCGGATGGAAGTGCTTCGGATGGAAGTGCTTCGGATGGAAGTGCTTCGGATGGAAGTGCTTCGGATGGAAGAGCCTCACATGGAGCTGCAGAAGATGGCGCTGCACAGAAATAAACACACGATGGGGAGGGGTATTCCTATTCAACAAACCTTCTCAAACACGGGAATGCAGTCTGAACACGAAGTTTCAACATAAGGTTATTTGATCCATGCAGTGTAGCTGTAGCATATGCAATTGTATGCAGTTAAGCATATACCACCTTATCACAGGTTGGAGGATAGCTTATAATGACTTATCAATTGCATGAAATGGGATATTCAGTAGGCATTATGGCATTCGAGTGGCAGCAAGGCAGCTCACCTGCAGGCAAGAAGATGCAGGACTGACAGAAGGAATAGCAGGCGATGCAGAACTGGCTCTCTAGTGACTGCTGCACCACACAGTCGGTGCCATTGGGACATTGCACTGTGAAGTCATACTCCCTGGTAGGCCATGCAGGGAGGACGAGAGTGAAATAGAAAAATTGACAAATAAAACATGGAAAAGGGCTCAAATGGAGAGAGATGGGTCTGAATCAGGGTAGCTGTCTATTCAGAATGCATTCAGACTGCAAATTAGTGCACAAGGGTTGAGTGTTAGCAACATCAGTACTGAATAGATCTAAGGTGTGGCCATGCTTGGTCCGGTCTGTCTGATGCTGGCAGTAACAGCAGAACAATGAGAGCAACAGTAACTCGAGAGATACACATGGCCAGCACTAAAAATCAAGCCATGTATGTGTGCTGCAAGCCATATGCATGTAGGTGTGCTGCAAGCCATATGCATGTAGGTGTGCTGCAAGCCATATGCATGTAGGTGTGCTGCAAGCCATATGCATGTAGGTGTGCTGCAAGCCATATGCATGTAGGTGTGCTGCAAGCCATATGCATGTAGGTGTGCTGCAAGCCATATGCATGTAGGTGTGCTGCAAGCCATATGCATGTAGGTGTGCTGCAAGCCATATGCATGTAGGTGTGCTGCAAGCCATATGCATGTAGGTGTGCTGCAAGCCATATGCATGTAGGTGTGCTGCAAGCCATATGCATGTAGGTGTGCTGCAAGCCATATGCATGTAGGTGTGCTGCAAGCCATATGCATGTAGGTGTGCTGCAAGCCATATGCATGTAGGTGTGCTGCAAGCCATATGCATGAAGGTGTGCTGCAAGCCATATGCATGTAGGTGTGCTGCAAGCCATATGCATGTAGGTGTGCTGCAAGCCATGTAGGCGTGCTGCAAGCCATGTAGGTGTGCTGCAAGACATATAGGTGTTCTTTGAGCACTATTTTTCGTACAGTTTGTTGAGGTTAACTGCACCGCCAAGGGTAGCTGGCAGGTAGCCGGTGAGGTAGTTTCCTTCGATGCCACTGCAATGGTGGGTAGATGCCATGTGGATGTCATGTGGATGGCATGTGGATGTCATGCGGATGGCATGTGGATGTCATGCGGATGCCTTGTGGATGTCATGCGGATGCCTTGTGGAAGGCCTATGATTGGCATGTGGATGGCCGTTGGACACCATGTGAATAGCCTATAGATGCCATGTGAATGGGAAGAAAGGGTGGCGGTGTGATTCTGTCGGATGCATGCCTAGAAGAGTGGCCCGATACATGTGACTAAAATTGATTCACAACAATTGTGGATGTTACAGGGGAATTGAGTGTTATGATCTACATGCACACATTCAGCCATGTGCATGCACAATACAACCATGTACGTGCGTACATCCAGCCATATGCATGTAAACACTCAGCCATATGCACGTAAACACTCAGCCATCAGCATGTAACCTCTTGCTTACCTAGTGAAGGACCATTCAACCATGTATTCAGCCATATGCATTGTATACGCACAGATAGTAAGGAGAGGGAGCTCCCCCAGAAAGGCCGGCACTGATCCCACCAGGTTGTTGTACTTCATGTTCCTGTTCGCTCACACATGGTCAGGTCTTAATGTTCACGGTCAGATCAATGCTCATCCATGTAATGCCAAGGTCATGAGCTGCTAAGGGAAGGCGGAATCCACTCGAGGCATCATGTAGCGCCAGTAATGAGCTGCGATGAAGAAATCAGAGCACTTGAAGTTGAAGCCCCGTGAGAGCACTCACCCCTGTCGATAATTAAGAGATACCATTTGAAATATTTGAAGAACCAGGTAGCGCATGGAACTTACAGAAGTTGAAGCCCTGTGAGAGCACTCATTCCTGAAGGAATGGATCCATTGATCTGTGAGTTTTCGAAGCTTCTGATGTGGGAAGTCATGCCATCGAAACAATTGGTGTACATGAAAGAGGCATGGGGCATGGGTCACACTGAAGCAACAGCACATGGGTGAATGTGCGATCCATGAGGCATAATGCATGACATAATGGGGCAACAGAGAAGAGACCACTGCAGGGCATTTCTTCCCATGTATTCCTCCAAACAACCATGATTGAAGACAATATGGGGTTGCATGCATGCGACAAGGCTATTGTTTGAGGATATATGCCGAGAGTGCAAGCCTCGAAATGCAAGGCTTATCAATATGACAATATGTTGTTGAAAAGCGCTTACAGGTCCACGAGGTTGGTGAGAGCAGAGATGGTGCTGGGGATGATGTTGCCGGTGCGGTTGTTGCTTATCAAGTGCCTGGTTGTGGGTAAGGGAGTGGGGGGTGATTAGAGGAAGTGCGAGGATTGAGAGGGGCATACACATGCAGGTCATATGCATGGGAGGGGTGTGCATGGCAGGGGGTTTGCATGGCAGGGGGTGTGCATGACAGGAGGTGTGCATGACAGGGAATATGCACGGCAGGGGATGCCAGCCATGCTAGTGTGGATTGTGTATGATGTTGGTTGCCCTTGTTTGTGGGGGAGAAGTTTTTTGTCACAAGTCTTACAAGCACTGCGGCACATGCAGCGCACTATCACATGCAGCGCACCATCACATGCAGTGCACCATCACATGCAGCGCACCATCACATGCAGCGCACCATCACATGCAGCACACCATCACATGCAGCGCACCATCACATGCAGCGCACCATCACATGCAGCGCACCGTCACATGCAGCGTACAACAAGTGCCGCTTACCAAGATATGCAGTTCCAGCAAGATACGCGGCAGCCTTCCATTGCTTGTACGAATGCTTACAAGATCCGAAGATTTGTTAGCTTCCCGATGCTGTCTGTCAGCGGCCCAATTGCGGTACCCTCCAGCTTCCTGCAGGGGGTGTGGTTGGCACACAGTGGTGTTTGGTCAGCACAAACTATTGCGCGGTTGGCACAAGGATCTGTGGCCCTTTCATTGGCACATCAAAAGAAGATCGACGGCTCTGTGAGATTGTTGAGTCTGGCCAAGGATTCAGGGATGGACCCAGTCAGCTTGAAGCCTGGGATGGACCCAATAATTTGAACCAAACGTAGTGTGTGGTTGGGGCAAGGGTTGTGTGTTGAGAACAGATACTTACAGCTCGGTGAGATTGTTGAGTTTGGATAAGGAGTCTGGAATGGACCCAGTGAGCTTGTAGTCCACCCCATCCCCATACATGATCCTGCAGAAAAAGAGGAGGAACAGTGGCAATGAGACTCTTAAGGAGAAGGAGTTGGAGAAAACGAGACAGAGAGAGGGAGAGAGATAGAGAGGGAGAGAGAGGGAGAGATCAAAGGTTTTATGGATTCAAGCTACCACTAAGCTGCTTTAAACTCTGGATCAAAAAAACCTGAGCGTTATATTCTGCAACACGCATCTAAGGGCCCATGTGAGTGCCTCATAGGTACGGCCGGCATGAGAGTGCCTCACAGGTACTGCCGGCATGAGAGTGCCTCACAGGTACTGCCGGCATGAGAGTGCCTCACAGGTACGGCCAGCATGAGAGTGCCTCACAGGTACTGCCAGCATGAGAGTGCCTCACAGGTACTGCCGGCATGAGAGTGCCTCACAGGTACTGCAGGCTGGTCATGTTGCCAAATGACTCGGGAATGCTGCCGTTCTCCACTTTCCCTGTCCTCCTGTGGGGTAATGGCATGGCGGGTGGGGAGTGGAAGGGGGGGGTGGCATAGATTAACAGAGAGCATCAAAGTGCAGGGACAATAAAAGGGCAGCGAGGATGAAAAGAGAGAAGATAATAAAAGAGGAGTGAGATTGAAGATAAAAGGGAAGCAAGCATGAAATATGGGAGAGCATAGAAGAGCAGCAATGGTAAAGGAGCAGAGATGATGAAAGAGTGACTAGCATTACACAGGTGAAAATATATGAGCACTACACATAAACGGCAAACATGATGCAACAGTGAGCGTGAAAGTGAAAAAAGTATGGAGAGAATCATAAATGAATGAGACAAAATTCGAAGAGAAACATATGGGGAACAGAAACATACAGACCTTGCAGGTTCACAAGACTACCCAAGCCAGAAGGGAGACTGCCTCCTATATCGGTATTGGTAAGTTCCCTGCCACCACGAAAGATGAGTTTTTTAGACCTCGGTTTCCCACAAAACCGAAGAGAATAAAGCCAAAAGGATGAAATGATAAGGTTGACACAAAGAGGATGAAACGAGAAGGATGTAATGAAAAGGATGAAACGAAGAGATGAGACGAAGTTGCCACTTCAGTCTCTCCCTTTATCAATGTTTTCTTTCCCTCTTTCTTTCCATCATCCTCTCTCTACTACCTCTCCCCCCTCTGTCGACTCTCTGTCTACCCTTCTCCCTCTTGCCACCTCTCATCCTCTCTCCCTAAACCACTGTCAACCTCGTCCTTACAAGCTTGTGAGCCGAGAGAGGCCACTGATGGCGTTCGGAATCGTGGGAAGG